CCCATGAAAGAACATCATCAATGAGGCGGTAAGTGAAGGCATATCGCTGAGCAGCTTGGGGATCATGTTGACGAATGTCATCAATAAAGCGTGCTTCATCCCAATAGAGCGTTAGATTGGAAATTTCTGGGCCAGCATTTGTTCCCATTGGAATACCAATGATTTGCTTTCRAAGAGTGCCATCTCTAGTGTACAGAAAAGTGTTTTCTACAACAAAGCGAAGATGTTGGAGAATCTGAGAAACGGAAAGGCTGTCTATATTACTGTATATATTATATGTATAATATGGTATATAATGCTATGTAATATTATTTATATATAAAACACGTACGTGTACACGTGTGTTTGAGCAATATACGCGTACGCGGGAGTACGTACTCGTACGCACCGCGTACGCGTACGCGGTGCTACCCAGGTCTTTTCAATAACCAGAGTAACCCAACATCAGAAACCACAAAATTAGTCAATATAGCCACCACTTTCTACAAGGAACTCTACACCAGCAAGACTCCTCCAGGTACAAATATTCATTTAATAATGAAACAAACAGAGCCAGAACTAAGTTCCTAATACTTCCTATCCCACCTAGGACGCTCACTCTCACCAAAATCAACAGGCAAACCAAAAGAGCCCATTGCACTAGAGGTACTACAGGAAGCTCTTTTTTTTTTTTTCCTTTTTTTCTTTATTGAAGGAAAGCCCTTTCACAAGTCCACTATCCTGGCAGTGGTAAGAGAACCGGCTTTGGCTACTGGGCTGCTCCGTGTATTGGTGGGGAGCTGCACCTGCTGGAAGCCGGGTCAAGCGTCCCTTGGAAATGGCACTGCAATACAGTGTGTCAGGGCTATGGTCACTAGTCTTCCTGTCTTGGATCTACTTTTTCCCTTGGGGCTGTGAATGATGCCCTTCCCTTAGTAGAATTCTCTCCTTAGAACTGACCTAGCCCTATTCCTGGAAATGACAAGCCCGTGTTCTTATCCTGTATGTCCCTTTTCCCTTTAATCTTGCTGTATTCCAGGAGTCTGCAGCCCTTCCCTGAAAAGTCATTTGCAGAGTTCATTTGGAGCTTATGGGTGAAATGTCTCTTCAGCCTAGAGATTGGCCGCCGCAAGTGACCGTGTATCTTCCCTTTCTAACTGTCTGGGTACTGAAGAGTACTGAGAACGGCACTTGGGCCATTTGTGGTATTACTCGAAGTCTTGTGACCCCGCGGCTGATGATGCCTTTTATGGGCAATGTGCCCGTCCAGGCCTTATCGTGTCATGGCAGCTAATCCCAAGTGTGACACAGTGGCTGCTGTTGCATGTAGCGGGTGCCCACTTGGGCCATGTCATGTTGTGGCTTCTGTTGCCATGTGATACACCTGCCCCAGCTGTCGTCATTCCTCCCTCGTGAAGCCAGGGGTTCCTCTTCATCTCTCACCATCTTGCCAGTGTACTCTATCCTGTCCCATTTCGGGCGCTCCCGTCCTTCAGGGTGATCCCCATGTCTTCTTCGGACCAGAGCGGCTGCTGCTGCTGCTCCCAGGAAAGTGAGATGAGGGAGGGGGGACAAGGTAGGGGTTGAGGGGGGAGTCGGGGAGTGGGGAGGGGGGGGGAATAATGGCTGAAGGGGTTGGGGTGGCCCAGGGGGGACGGCAAGGATAGCGGCTGGGGGGGTAGGGGTGGTAGCCAAGGCTGGGGGGGAAGGCGGGGGTGGCCGTGGTGGCTGTCCGTGGAGAGACGGGGGGGACGGGGGAGGACCAGGCTGGTGGCCAGTTATTAGCACAAAGTTAGTTGGGAGGAAGGGGACTTCGAAACCGCGAAGGGATTTGGCCAGTTATTAGCAGAAAGTTAGTTGGGAGGAAGGGGACTTCGAAACCGTGAAGGGGTTTTCTTTGCCAGGATGGCTCCAATCTCCTCCACGGCTTCCGTCGGATGTTGTGGGCAGCATCCAGTTCAGAAAAGAATTTCTGCGGGTCCTGCCATAGCTGGTGGTAGGATTCCCAGATGGATTCCTTGATAGCAGGGTCCTTTCCCCCCCGATAATCCTTGATAAACGATTTCCAGGCTTCACGAGTTCTTGATCTCATCTCCTCTTGTATGGCATGTTGCGCTTGCTGTGACCCAAATTGGGGGCTTTTCCATTGAAAGGAACATCTGGCTCTCCAGGCCAACATAAGAACCTGCAGTCTCATGTATGAGAAGAGGTTGGTGGCAAAGGGAGACCATTGTGCTATCAAATGTTGGTTCTTGTTGAGCAGCACGAGGCCAATGTCCCATGCGATATGGCAGCCTTTAAGGTAGTGGAACGCTGCGCCCCACCACCACCACAATTGAGTGACCATTGGGCAGGCCAACAGGCGGTGTTCCAATGTTGCCCGAGCCGGCACAGTCGACCTGCCACTGTAGGTACAAATGGAAGCTCTTAAAGACCTAAGGCCCAACAAAGCACCGGGCAAGGACGGTCTCTCTAGGGAATTCTGGACAATGTGATGACCTTATGTGAAAACCACAAGGATTCTAAACCAAAAGAAAATCACAGCAGCCCTACTGTACTTCAACTTCCAAAAAGCCTACGACCAAGTTAACTAGTCGTTCTTACAATCCTGCGTGGAGAAAATGGGGATATGCCGGAACTTCCCAAGATGGGTGAGAGTTCTATACAATGACGCCCAGGGCATCGTTCAGGCAAGGGATTCCTCTCTAACCCCTACAAAATGACCAGATCAGTAAGACAAGGAGACCCACTGACTGCACGAATTTTCCTCTTCGTCATGGAAGCCGTAGCAGCCTTCCTCAGAAAAGATGAGTCCATAGAACGACTTGAGGGCATCAAAGACGAAAGAGGGCACCCATTTTATTTACCTACGACCCTCTTCTTCGCAGAGGACCTTACAGTACTCATCAGAGCCTCCAATTCCTCATTCCAAGCATTAACAAGAGCAATGCAAGCATTTCAACTAGCTTCAGAATGAGAGTAAATTGGGGGCAAACAGCTGGCTGGTGGCTCGCAGATTCCCCGCCCCCACTCGAAATCACCCCAGAAGGAATGCATTTGTCCGATCCCTCTTCCCCCATTCACTTCCTAGGCATAAACCTTAGCACAAAAAGAAGCCATCCCTCCTCGACAGACTCCCTTCTGTCCTCAATGATCAACAAGATGATGCACAATTGGCAGGGTGTACATACTTCACTTCTAGACAGGGTACTTGCACTCAACAACTCAATACTAGCAATGATGTAGTATGTCACCATTACCTGGTTCCCATCCCCAAACTTCCAAAAAAATAAGGAGGAGGGCGGCAAACTTGAATGTGACTGCATGATGCACCTGGTCCATTTGACGACAACTTTGCGAGTCCTCATCCACTGGCCCCAAAATTGTTAAGGGAACCCGCAAACATCAATGCGGTCATGTTGTATTCCCCTCTCTTGATTTCCACCATTTTTTTTATTTTTATTTTTTTTAATGTGTCCACCATCATTGTGCTCTTGTCCTCATATCAACAGTTGCTTGGTCTCTGCCGACAAACCGTTTCTGCATAGGTGTGCCAAGAATTTGATGTTGGCAGCTCCACAGGGGGTGTTTACCAAGCTGCGATACACTACTTCACTGTGGATGTGAATACGGGTGAGGTACGCTCTCTCTCTCTCTCTCTCTCTCTCTCTCTCTCTCTCTCTCTCTCTCTCTCTCTCTCTCTCTCTCTCTCTC